TATAGGTTATTCCTTTGATTTAAACATTAAGTGCCTAAATAGCCTTACGTGTCTTTTTCTCTTTAAATAGAATGAGTATTATTCCTGTGATGCAAAATATCGCAACTGGCTCAAACTCCAATTAGAGAATGCTGAAGTCACTGAACTGTCAGAAGAGGAAAATCAGAAAGCTGTTGTAGCAGCCAAAGAAACTTTGGATTCTTCTTTGTCACTGCTCCTCAGTAAGTGACGCCATACTTAATAATATATGGTTGACTTATATGCAAGAAGAGTAGTTTGTACATTGGTTGAAAATGATGTTAATTGTGATGGCTTTGAACCTCATAAAATAGGAAAAGACAATCCCTGGTTGACATATCTTGAAGACCACGTATTCGAAGTAGAAGAATATATGTTCCTTGAGTTGCATGCAACTGCGATGCTCTGTTTGCCTTCTGGTGAATGTTTGTGCCCAGATGCCACTGTTTGTGCGGCATTGATGAGTGCGCTTTATGCTTCTGTCAGTGAGGAAGTTGTTTTAGACCGCCAGTTAATGGTACTATCTTCATCCAATCTCTTATTGCATCTGTTCTTTTTACTCGTTATCCTTGCTGTTGCCTCACCCAGGCCTGTAAATAAGTGTGCATATTCCCTAGATGCAAGTTTTTTGTCTAACAATGGTTATGTAACAGAATTAGATATTGTCTAAAGATGTGATACAATCTCGAAAGCAGTCTGCTACGTATTACTTATGTTGATCTTTGCTGCAGGTAAATGTATCGATTTCATCAAGGGACAGCTACTGCATCGAGGTCGTGCTCCGATGTTTAGCAATTGAGGGTGATGGACTTGGGCCACATAATGCAAATGACGGGGGTCTTTTAAGTGCAGTTGCGGCAGCTGGATTTAAAGGTTAGGAAGTCTATGGAACACATTTCTTCTTCATGGTTTACCTCTCTCCATAAAAATTTGTAGATGTTTTATTCGAGTGAAATCACCAGCATCAATAAAACAAGCAAAAATTAAAATCTCACTGCAGGTGAGCTTACCCGGTTCAAAGCAGGTGTTACAATGGATATATCCCGCCTAGACTCTTGGTATTCAAGCAAAGAGGGCTCGCTTGAAACACCTGCAACTTATATCGTCCGCGGTCTCTGTAGGAGATGCTGTCTTCCAGAGCTCGTTCTTCGATCTATGCAGGTAAAGCCTCTTATTTGCAACTAGCCTCTTCCAGATTTCACATTCTAGTTTTCCGTAGATCTTGAGCGCATATTAGTTTTCTTAACAATGCAATACATATATATCTGGGGACTTGTAAAAAACTGTCTGATAATCTGCTTTGCAGGGAAGAAAAAGTCGTTGGTCATTTACGTGAGTGAGATTTATAGAAGGCTAAACATTAAACTACTTGCATATTCCTGGTTTGTCTTCCCTGCAGGTTTCTGTTTGTCTAATGGAGTCGGGAAATCCACCTGAAGATCACGATGAACTGATTGAGCTCGTGGCTTCTGATGAAACTGGTTTTCTCTCTTTATTCAGTCAGCAACAATTACAGGTCAGTAATACTCAATTCTGTACTCCCTGAAGAACAAAATCAAAGGCAGTCGCCATCTTTAATCTATTTTTTTCTCTTCGTGTTATGCAACTTGTCATCTGCTGCATCATTGTTGGTTATGAACCTGAATTAATAGCTTCATTTTAGTAATTTGTTTACTTCTTCTGCTGTGAAACATCACAAACTATTTAGTATTGAGATCTGAGAACCATCTGATCGATTTGGATGCAATATAAATGCAGGAGTTTATGTTGTTTGAGAGAGAGTATCGTATGTCCCAGTTGGAGCTCCAGGAGGAACTTTCGTCATCATCGTGATATTGCCTCACCTTATAACCCAGAGAAGGCTTATTTTGGTCGTGTAAACAGTCCCGGCTCTAACCCATGGCGAGTGGGGGGACCGTCGGTTTTTTTTTTTTTTAATGTTTTAAAATTTGAACAAGAACGCCCATGATCTTATTATTATAGTAGCAACAGATCAGAACAAATCATTGTTTCAGACTCACCGACAACATATAAAATCATTATGATGAGCACACACAAAATGATCAAGATTGAGTATAGACAGTATCCAGGTTATGTAATTTCAATCATACTGGAACAAACAGCATTGACTGAATGCATTTTCTCAATCTCTAGTGTTCAGCCTTTAGTCTTCTAATATAGCTTCTGGTCTCGTTATACATTGAAATTTGTCAGTGTTTGACACTGTTGTTCAATTGTCTGATTCAGTTTCTGTTGTCGATTGTTTTTGGATCAGAGCATAGACTGAAGTCTCTCATTCTCTGTCTTAACATGATTTCTGGTTATGTCACTAATAGTGGGACAACCAGAAAGAGCCATAGTAATCTCAAGCTCGTTCTTTAACATCTCAATCACTTTTCTCACTCCATCTCCACCTTTAGCTGCGAGCCCAAAGACTATAGGTCTCCCTATCTGCATCATCCAACAATATAGCGTCATCACATCAACAGAGAGCAACCTGATAAATGTATGCCAAATCCCAAAACATTAGCATTCAAAGCTTACAAGAACAGCTTGTGCTCCGAGTGCCAACGCCTTGAAAACATCTGTTCCTCGTCTTACTCCTCCATCAAACAAAACCGGAATCCTCCCACCAACAGCGTGAACAATCTGCAGTTTCAGAAGAAGACCAGTTTGTTCATTAAGATGAATAAGTTTGTCTTTAAGCAAGCTTTGATAAGTTTACCTCTTCTAAAACAGTTATCGTGGCTGGGGTATAGTCAAGCTGTCGAGCCCCATGGTTGGATACCACTAAACCTTCTACACCCGCTTCAACAGCCTTAAGAGCTGCCAATACCATCAGAAAATGTCTTTTACATGCCTTTGAGTTTCTATATAGTTTGATGCAAGGCTACATATGTATCAGAGTATGAAACAAGAATGTTACCGTCTTCACGGGTGAGTATCCCTTTCACCAGAATAGGCAACTTCGTAATAGATCTTAACCATTCGATGTCCTAAAAGTTTGCAGTGCAAAGCATTATAAGGAATCCACACATATTGTCATGATACTTTATGTCTAATATTCAAGGACTCATATTTTACCTTCCAATTTAACGAAGCATCAAATGCACGAGAGGCGAAGGCTTCAACACCTGAACCTTCACTCTGAGAAGAAGTTATCACGTCAACAACAGGTAAGGTTTCACTTTACATGAACCTCAAATTCAAGCTCTACTTACAGGTCGGACTTCGGTTTCAAATAGACCTTCAAAATTCTTCAGCTGCGGGGATATCATTCTACAGAAAAGACATTGAAACATCATTTAACAAAGTAGAAAAGCTTATTCCTGCAAGAAATAGCTCCAAAATCTCTGAGTGTTACTTGTTCTTGATATCTGCTTCCCTTCTACCAAGTTTAGGAACATCAACAGTTAGAACTATGGCCTTGAATCCAGCTTTCTCAGCTCTTTTCACCATCTGTGCAGTTACATCGCGTCTCTTGTACACCTATAAAAGATATCAAAGCGCACTAAGAACCGAATCCTAAGGTCTACACCAAATAAGCACATTTTAAGGATAAACAAAAGAAGCTAAAAATCCAGATTGTGTACTTACATATATTTGAAGAAACCGAACAGCGTTACAACTGGAAGCAACCTCCTCAATAGTGCATGAAGCCATATATGATACTATCTGAAATTCACATAAACAAAAAAAAAACCATAATCATCACCATAAAACCAAAACAGTGCAAAAACGTGGAGTCCAATAAACTCTTTAATACCATGATAGTGTTACACGCAGCTGCAGCTTTCGCAGTGGCGGTTTCTCCTAAGATAAAAAAGACAAATCAAAATCAACATCCAAATCCAACAACTGCATATTCCATTAATAGAAGTAATGAAGATAGGCTAAACAGACCTTCTGGATGAGCCAACATATGATTTGCTGTTGGAGCAATCATGATTGGAGCTGAGATCGGGTAACCCAATATTCTAGTAGACATATCTATTTTGCTCACATCAACAAGAACCCGAGGCCGAAACCTGAAACATCAAAGCACACATATAAAAGGATGAATTCACCAGGTTAATAGTGTCACCCACTAAGCAAAAATGATAGATTGATATGGATTTGTTACATGATTCGACGGAAAGCTTCCACATTTTCCTTGAGAGTGTGTTGATCCTCTGCTCCTCCGCTGTAGAAATCATAGTACATCTTAGGGAGAGCCCGTTTCGCCAGCTCTTGAAACTCATTCACGTTGACGATTTGATCCATCTGTATTTCAAATATATCACATAAAAAGGAAAGAAATTGGCAGTCAAATAGCACTACTAGACAAGAAGCTTGCTACTCCATCATGATTTAAACAGAAATGATCACATCTTTAAGAGGCCTTAATCATCATTTCTTTGATGTCAAGGAGACAAGGACTTGACATGCCTTAAACCAATAATTATCTATTACGGGACTTGATTCGTCTATTTTTTTCAACTGAACTGAGCTGATTGATGTAGTAACTAGTAAGTTCAATCTTTATATTACACGAAACAGCAACAAATAGCTATTGTTGGGCGATCATTTTAAGGGTATCAGAAGTAAAAACCATAAGTACATGATCTAAAGAGCTGGCACTAAGAAGACTTACATGTCTGAAGAATCTAGCAAAAGAAATCCAGATGCAGAAGTAGATAGACCTTTGAAACCAAGAAACTCAATTATTTTTTTCAAGTCACTCTAGAAAATGTAACCGAAGAACACTGTCGGGAAATATAACTTCGTCCGGGGCTGTCGGTAAGACAAGAAGAACGAACTATTTCGGCCCATGTGGATGAAATTAGTCGGCCCAAAAACAACCCATATGAATAAGGAAGGACTTGAATGGTCAGCGTTGACTATTCAGCGTATCTCATGATGACGTGGAGTGCTGAGTCAGCACCGTCACGGCGAACAAGTTTCCAACGGAGAGAGAGTTAATACTCGTAGACCAAATGCTCAGAAACCGAAGAGTCTCTTGCAAAGTTGCAATTTTTGCCTCTTGAGTAGACTGTGCCTATTAAAAGAGCACGATCGCTTTTTTTACCTGTGGAAACGATTCAGTCATAGCTATCGTGTTTGGAGGGTAGAGAGATGAATCACGGCGAAGCTTGGGGTTCCGGTGGCCGTAGGGGTTCTCATGGCCGTTCTCCGGCGTCTAAACACAGAGCTCATCGTCCTGAAAGCGAAAGTCCGGTAAGTAAACTCGATTGTCGTCTCGTATTCTCGGTTCCGAGAATGTTTCTGTTATTCTATCCAATTTTCGAAATTGAAGCCCCTTATTGATTAGCCTTTACTTGTTGCTTGCTAATGTTTATGGTTGGTAAGCAGATGTTTCCTTTGGATGAATATTCTGGTAGTAGGGGTAGGGGATCTCGAGGTAGAGGAAGATGGACACAATCACGGTCTCCTAGGAACAGTCCATCGCAAGTGTACGTTAAGAAGTCATCACAAGTTTCCAATGTGGGATTAGTGGAAAAGGCAGCTCAACTGGAAATAAAGTCCCCAGGGGATGGAATAGGTTCTACTACGCAGCCTGATGAGGTTGCTGCTTTGAAGTTTTCTGGAGATAACATGGATCTTTTGCAATCATCAGATTCGTCTTGCTCAAAGAACATAAATTTTAGTGGAGGTGAGGAAAAGGTTGGCGCTAGAATGCCTTGTGATCTTGTGAACAGGATGAGAGATGTTTCGTTCTCTGGCCATGAGTCTGTGTCTTCCACAGGTGATCAGAAGGCTGAGGTTTCTGGTGTTAAGGATCATGATAGTGCTCACAAGTCTTGTGATGTAGGGAACTCTTTGAATGAAAGCAACACGAGACCTTTTGACCTCTTCCTCCAGACGAAGGTGGTAACTTTAAAACCCTCGTTGCATGCAGTGAACAGAGTTAAGAGAAACGCAACTAAGGGGTACACGGGAAGTGTCATTAGACCTGGAATGGTACTTCTCAAGAACTACTTGTCAATCAACGATCAGGTAACTACTCTCTCTCTCTCTTTCTTCTTTCTGAATGTGTTTGCTTATCTGTCTTCTCGTATATGCATCATTTGTGGTTTTTCTGCTTTTCAAATTGCTTCTAGGTGATGATTGTGAACAAATGTCGTCAGCTTGGTTTGGGTAAAGGAGGCTTCTATCAACCAGGCTATCGAGATGGAGCATTGTTGCATTTGAAAATGATGTGCTTTGGGAAAAATTGGGACCCTGAAACATCACAGTATGGTGAAACTCGACCGGTTGATGGTTCTGTTCCACCAAAAATTCCTGTTGAATTCAATCAGTTTGTTGAGAAAGCAATTGAAGAATCACAGTCCCTAGTTTCCTCAAATTCAAAGAAGACGAAGGGAGAAGATGGAATACCATTTATGTCACCAGACATCTGTATTGCTAACTTCTACACATCCACAGGGAGACTTGGTCTCCATCAGGTTAGTGTTTCGAACAACCTCTTGAGTTCATGAAGCTCAAAGGCAGTTGCATCATTAGATTTTAAATCCTTGATGTTTCAGGACAAAGATGAGAGCGAAGAATCCATCCGGAAGGGATTACCTGTTGTTTCCTTTTCTATTGGAGACTCAGCCGAGTTCTTGTATGGTGATCAGAGGGATACTGACAAGGCAGACATGGTAGTCTTGGAGTCTGGAGATGTTCTACTATTTGGTGGGAAATCCAGAAATGTCTTTCATGGCGTGAGATCAATCCTTAAAGATACTGCCCCCAAGGTTCTTCTTGACCAAACAAGTCTCCGGCCAGGTCGTCTGAATTTGACTTTTAGGCAGTATTAAACCAAAGCTAGGAACTTTTGTATGTATCTTGTAACTTAAAAATATTTTGTTACACTTGTTCGTTTTTGTTTCCGGTAATATAAATTAACTTCCACACACGATCTGTGTGTTATCTTACAATGTCTTGGCAATATGTTGGATAACGTTTTCTTTTATATACAATAAATTAGCGCAAACAATGTGTATAGCTTAGGCTCTAGTTCGATGTGTATAGTTATTTCATTGTTGGAAACTTAGCACATCTTATCATTTTGTCTCGTCTGTCACGAGCTTGCTGATCCTCCAATAGCTGATGCTGCTGAATCTACGTAATGTAGCAAGCAAGAGTATATTTTCTTCTTCAATCGTTCTATATTCTCTAACAAAGAATTATCAGTAGAGTGATGTTCACTTTTAACTTTGTCCAGCCATTCGTTTGCTTGCTTAAGTTGGGATAAAGTCTCAGCAATATGGTTATCTGGTTCCGCCACTCGCCCTCCTTTGGTTTTTCCTTTCTTCTCCAGAACACTAGCCTGAAATCCAGTATCTATTGCTTCTTCCAAGAATTTTAAAAACCAGCTTCTTGTTTCTTGTTTCATTGTATTTCTCAGTTGTTTTATCTCTTCTGTACCATTTCCCTTAACCCATTCTAGCTTCTCAGCTTCGGTTAGAGTTTTTGAAGATTTTGAAAACTTTGTTGTGGTTCTGCTTGAAATCAGACTAGCTTTTTTGCTCAGCTTGTCAGGCTCATTCAATAAAGAATGAACATTCATCAGCTGGAACGCTTTATCTTTCGATGCAGCAGTGACTTGTTCTTGATCAAGGAGACTCTGGAGGGTGAAGAAGTTTCTGAGAGAGGTATGTGGATTCTTTGGTGAAGCACTTGAGCTGAGGTCAGCAAACATACTGCAAAAACATTGTTTCTTTGATTAAGGACTTTCAAAAAACTACTTCTCGTCTTGTATCCTATTTATTTTCTCTCCTCACTCTACCTCTTCATGATATATATATGATCATGTTTGGTTTCAAGGGTACTTGCCTGATACACTTGAGAAGATGTGAAGCAGCCAATGCCTCTCTTTGTACTTCTGTGGAAAGCAGAACAGCAATGTTTCTCCTTCTTAGCATCCCCTTTAGATTAAGAGATTGTCGGTGATGAGCATAATAGAATGATTTGAAAGAACAAAAGGAGAGATACAGAGATCATACAGAGCGTACTTTACCCATTTTTGATAGACTAACAGGCAGAGAGCTCCATGATGCATCCTCAGAAATATTACTCTTCCTGTTTATAAAACTCACTGTGGAGCTCAAAGGGAGTTTCTTTGGCTCTACTTTAGTTGGAGCTGTCGCAGGCCGAGATTCTGGAGGACCAGCTTGACGTGCCTGCGCAGCACATATATGTTAATCACAGGTTAACCACAATCTGTATATGCTAATATAGGGGATTTTACTTATCGTTAAGACGTGCCTGCGCATTACTCACCTGATCTTTGTGCTCTCGTTGCTTGCCCTTAGCCAATCCACCAACTTTCTTTGTGGCCATCATCAATCCAGTCTCGCTCTCATTGTTGCTACCTCCGCTACTCGAGTCTGATCCACTTGCCTTTGTGGTTGAAACACCTTTCATATATCTTGATGCCACACCTGTTTTCTCTTCCTTGATTACAAAGTGTTGATGTCTTCTTAGATTCACCACCACGTTTGATCTGGCACCATCTTTCTGCTGGAGAAGTTGTATTAGAGAACAGATCTCTTATTAAAGTAAAAGTCAAGAACCTGATGATAATGATCACCTTCTTCTGTTTGTGGTTTTGTTCTTGCATAGGTGCTGTCTCACTAGGTACCAACATTTGCATCAAGTCTTTTGGATTTCCTACAAAAGGATGGCGTCCAGAGATCGGTCTAACTCCCACCATTACAGGAACAGGAGTCCCAGCTTCAAGCTTATCAACGTAGAAGAACTGTCCCAGTCCCAGCTTGTTGTTCAAGATAAGTTCGTTGTCTTCGTTCCTCAATGAGACATATGTGGAGTGAGAAGAATCTGAGACTTTGATGAAAAAGCCTTGGTTTGGCCAAAGCTCTGAGCCGGCTAAAGCAGGGACAATGCTGATTACCTGCAAGAGCACAGACCGATATTCCCCTCGAACCTTGATGTTTGTGTCCATCGTCTGGAGAAGCTTGATTAACACTCTAGGCGTAAGAGAAGCCATTTCTTGGAAATTGAACAGTGTGAGGTTGAAAATTTTACAAACAGAGGATAAAGGAAGGTTTTTGCTTTTTTTTCTTTCTTTTGGCTGGATTCTTTGTTCCTTGATGATGGAGCATCTTCTCCTCTAACCTTTGCATGGAAGGTAAGTAACATCATCATATTTTCACTTGGCTTTGAAGTCATGTGATCATGTTAGGCTCATGAGGACTTCTTAACTTTTTTGGGTCAATTATTGATGTACCCTTGATGGAGTACAGAGAGAGATGAGGTTAAGGAGAGGGGCTATTTTGGAATTTCTGTTTGGGTTACCTCAACTTCGATCTCACGTCACTTTCCGAGGAATATGGAGAAAGGTTATGGGAGGGTGAGTATACACCTTCTTTGCCCCACATTTACGTGTTGATCACAAAATGTAAAAGAAATGTTTTTTTTTTTTCCTGGAAACTATTGCATATTACATTACAACGAGATTATGATCTTTAGATGGAGTAAAATTACTGGTTGGATATAAGCAATTTCTTAACACATGGCCAATCTTTTTTGAAGCTCGAACAAGTAGGAGAGACTCAAGGATACTCAACACTATAGTTCTTGAATACAGTCCAGTGAGTAATCGATATGTAACTGCTACGATACTTCACACACCTTATTAGCAACTTCTGTTTAATTGTTTGACTAAATTTCTGTTCCACTACAAGTTTTTTGTTAATTATTATATATAGAAAACCAGGTTCTGTAATTTTTATTTTTCCTTTGCTGGGTTTATCGGTTGTTTGATATTGTAGTAGTTAGAATGATATTACCTTCAAACAGTCTATATAGACTATAAACAAAGTTAAATAAAACCAGGTGTTGGCTAATTGCATTGCATTGCAATTTTGAATTTGATCAAGCTTAAATATACCTTGCACCAAAATATTTGAAAATTGCGGTGGCAAAAAGGCCCATAAATTTTAAATACAAGTTAAAAGGTCCCAAAATGAAGCCCAAACACATAAAGGCGGCTTCGCTCTTCACTCTTCACTCTTCAGTTACTTGTATTTAAACTTCACGCTTTGATTTTCGCTTGGATCCTGAATTCTTATACGAATGTCGGTTTCGAATCATTTTCCTTTGCTACGAAAATTGGAGAGTGAAAAGAATGACCTTGGTGCTGCAGTAAACATGAAGTTTAAGAGTGAGTAAATAAAAAGCATATAGCGAATCATCTAAGAGTTTAAGATCGCAGCTTGGTTATATAGGACTGTGAATTACGCAGTAAGATTTCGGTATAATGATTATAAAACTCGGATGCTAGATATCCTAATTCTATGGTGTCTCATAATGGAGTAGGAGGACACTTGATTGAGATTACCTTTTACAGAAGATCCTGACGTCTGATCCTCCTTCAGTTTAAAGCTCAATGGTGCGCTAGTGGATTGGGCTGAAATTAGGTACACAATATTAGATCAACTCATATCAAGATAAACAAAATGAGCTATATAATTCGAAGCCGTTGATAAGTCTGGTATTGATGTATTTGTATGCTTTATGTATAGAATAATAAGGTTGTTACCTTGTTCACTGAATAGCTCACTCTCGTTGAAGCTATCATCAGAGGGATGTGTCTGTAAAAATCCCATTCTCGACTTTCTCAAGTCTTCTGATGATCGGTTCGCAAGATCTCGTCCATCTTCAGTGTCATCATCCCCTTCAGAGGTTGTAGCAGATATCCAGTCAGCCAAATTCTCAGCCGCACGGTTTTTCCTTCCGAAATTCAAAAGCCTTTTCAACCCTTTTGTCACATCCTGTTGGCACTGACTCTGAGATGGATTACCAGCGGAAACGCGTTTCTGAGCAGCTCCCCATTTCTTTCTCATTTGAGTTGTATCATTCTCTGTATGGCTAAGGGAAGATAAGTTCCAGAAAGCAGGACTACCCACTGGAGAGTCCACTGAAGCATCAAGTTCAGATGCCTCGTTTTGATATTGGTGCTTCACTCGTGAATTCCATAGAACAGGGTTTTCGCCTGGTGAATCCAGAAATGAACCGATGGTTTGATGCCTAGAAGCCATAGCAGAAGGTAGTTCCGGATTTGAACTAGGGTCAAGGTGAGAAATAGATTCTTCAAATTCCTGACTTAGTCTTGGTTTCTCGTTTTCTGCATCCGTAAAAGCTTCGACTTCCGTGTCATCAAGCACTTCTTCCATCCCCTCTTTCTCCATATCGTCTGATTCCTCAGATCCTTCTGAAGCCTTTAGCTGCGCATTTTCAGAGCTGATACCAATTCCAAGATTGTTATAATTTCTCCCACTTTGCTCTTGCTGCTCAAGATTTAAAGCTACAGAAACACCATCTTTTGACTTCAATTGAGAAAAGTCTGCCAACTCAGCAGCTTCAGCAGCACCTTTTCTGAAATTTGTCGGCCTTCGCAGCTTCTCTTCTTCAGTTGCAGCCTTTGGGCGGACAGAGCTTCTCACCTGTGAGCGGACACCATTTTTTCCAACTCCCGAGGCTGGTTTCATGCCTTCTTTCTTGAACTCGTTAAAGTTAGGGACTGACTGTGCAAGAAGTTTGTCTGATTGTCCTCTCCGCCTAACAGCACCAGGTGTAGAAACTTTCGCTGCAGAGCGTGAAGCTGATGTAGCTGTGGTTCGAGCAGTCAAGAAATTGTTTCTGTTTTGTTGTACCTTCTTATTCTGGGTGCTCCTGGAAACATCTTCATCTTCTTCACTGTGAAATGAGCTAATTGGATGCTGTCAAGTCATTACAATGTTAAACTTGTTAGAGACCCAAGGATAATATTTCACCCACTCTATAGTTTTAGCAACCACGGGTAAACTTTCAGAAGAAGAAAATGCCCTATACCTGATCCTTTTTAGCACTCAACCTAGAGTTGAAATATACAAGCTTCTCTGCACGTCGGGCATTTGAATCACGTCTTGTCGTAGACTGAGAAAATTTCGTCTTCATCTCAGCGTTACTGCGATCAAGTATATCTTGCATCACCTTCAACTTGGCTTCCTTCTCGGTCCTTCTTGAACTCCAGTCGTCCTTCAGCTTCGCGTCTCTTTTCTGCATATATTTCTCATAGAACTTTCCTCTAGAATTATCTGAAAAGCTGATTTCTGGAAATTTCTGCCTTGTGGAATCTCCATAGTCATTGTCAACGACCACCTTAATTGTTGGTGGAGTTTTGAACTTGTCTTCGTCGTTTGAGCTTAAAGTTGGCACTGTTGGGGTCCTCTGATTAGAAATTTGGGCAGGAGATAGATCCTCTGCTACAGGTTTTCTGAGCTGTGAAGTCGCAGCCTGTTCACTCGGCTTTCCGGGCTTACCTCTACGGACAGAGCTGGATTGATCCCCTGGCACACGGAGCATATGTTCAGCAAATAGCTTTTCAAGCTCGTTAGCTTTCACTTTCAATTCATCATTCAGCTCTTGACTTCCCTTAGACGCTCTTGCCCTTTGAACTTGCTCTGCCGGGGACACTTGGGTCAGAGTATCATTCTCGGAGATATCTGACACACTATTAATGGCTGCAGGTGACTTTTTATTTACATCAGCAGAACCAATTTCAGCCCTTCTACCATACGGCCTTTTCATCTGTTCAGAACCTACAAGAAGATGGTGCAAGAAAATAATCAGAAGGTTGCTATATTTTCCCCTTTGTCGAAGTCAAGATATTAAGAAAAATATATGTCTAGAAAAGAAAAGAAGAGAGGTACGTTACCACATTGAGAATTAGTCGTTCTCCTATTCTCAGACACAATTGTTTAATAATAATATAATAAAAAGAAGTTACGGTCATGATCATTTTCAAGCATTAGAAAAGCAAAAGAAAAAACCATAGACGTAGAATATCTCAGTTAAGCGTACAAAAGAAAGGCAGTGCATGATGGTTCTTTGGTGATCCAAAATTCCCGTTGATGTCAATATTGGGTTAGAAGCATTAAAAATAGATGAAAGTATAAAGGAATTCCCACGCATGAAATATCTCAATATATGAACATAAACGAAAGACCAAGACATTTCTACTTTACTGACCTCCATAAACCAGTGTCTTTCTCTGGCGATCTTCAACTAGTGGTGATTGCCTAGCCGAAGGTTCTTTCCTAGGAGACTCCGCAGTTCCTCCATTGCTCCGACCACTAGTGATGTTAGATTCAGTACCACCTAACTGCTGTAGTTTAGACAATGAATGACTCCGACGATCCCTAAGCTGTATTTCGTTCTGCCTGTTTGATTCAGAATCGCCCATTTTGTTGTCAGGCTCATCATCTATATTTGCATTCCCTGAGTAATCCAGAGTGCCTCCAGAATTTTTATCATAGTATGTAAGCTTGGAATCCTGAGAGTTTCCTTGATGTCCCACTTGATTATCCGTGCTCAATGGCACCTTCAAGTCAACCTCCTTCTCTTTTCGCAAGGAAGTAGAGCTTGAATTCTGGGACTCTACTTCGTCCATAACGTTGTTGGAACTACATTCGTCTTCATTCCTTTGAGGCTTGTCAGCACGACTCAATCCATTCTGCTCTTTTTTATTGTAGCCGACAAATTGTTTCGAAGATATACTACTTCCATCTTTGGACACTGATGATGACGAGGGAGTGCACAATGGACTATCACCAGAAGCATCCTTCCTATCATTTCCCAAATCAATGCTGATGTCACTAGCACCACTCCATCTTCGTACCACAACTTTTTCCATGCCTGCAGCAGATGATAAATCAGAAGAGAGCCTTTTAAGCTCAGTGGATTTTACCACAGCTGTTTTCCCTCCAGAGTTCTCTTTCTGCTTGTTTTCAAACATGTTGATTCTCTCCTGCACACTGAGCCGTCTTGTGAGTTGCCTAGACTGACTTGCTACTGGCTCATTTTGCACAGGACTTTGATCCTCTTCTTCATCCTTTTCATCATGACTACTTTGTGACGTAGGCTTTGATTCTTGTTGACAGTAGTTGGTTCCTGTTGTACTTTGCTCTTCCATACCAGTTTGATGTTCCCTATGTTGTTGGGTTCTGTTAGTCGCTAGGTTTCTAGATGGGTCTTCATTGGGATCATCGATTGACATATCAGATTCCCAAGACGAGCGTATAGCTTCTTCTTCCTGATTGAACCTCCACGAGCTCATAAGCTCTGGCCTTCTCTGGCAAAGTAAGATAAACTTGGCGCATGCTTCACTGCAATAAGTATAGCAGACCAAGTATGATCAGAGTTTTGGTATGAATTAGAAATGCATATTCTAAAAAGTGAGATAATTCACCAGGTTGACTTTTTGGTAACCAAAGTACAGTTAGGCATCCTAGTCATATATAATAATGTTCATGCACCTACCAGCAGTTCTCAAGTCTCCATCAGACCAAACCTACCTAAATTAGAGCATGATGGATTTCTGTTTATGGAAAAGAGCATGCATCTCAAGGCCAAAACATGTAAACATAAAACATATAGGCGAGTATATAAATATGAGGTCACGGTGATCATAGAATAAACAGGTGTTATCACGAAGTCCAAATTTTCAAGAGGATAATAAACCTAGAAACCTTGGTTGCATATTCTTGCTATGTAGACTATGCAACCAAGTAAAGGCGTACAATTTGATACTGCAACTATGAATATCTAGAAATCAAAATACACCTACTTCAAGCGACTGGCCCCAAATCGATCAGCAAATTGACTAAGCTCTGAGACAGTGATTGGGTTGAAGCCAGCAGCCGATGCACGATTACAAGCAATTGCTAAGTCCTGTCTAACTGCTGCAAGCCGTAAATCAATAGCTCTCAGTAGCTCCTTCCTGGAAAGGCAGAAAAGGGGGGAGAGATTCAGCGTTACACATTTCAAGTGTGCATAAGACATATTTGTCTCCAGGAACTTTGCACAGTTAACCAGAACACATAATAAATAGATACTTCGGCCAAATATTCATAATTATCAAAGGTAAATATCAAGAAAGGTTGGGACTTTACTTTGTCACATCAGCTGCTGGTGTAGTTTCTGTGCCATCTGAACCAAGAAAGGTTTAGCCAGATAATTCCAAAGCAATAAATTAATGACTAACATGTAACTGAATATATCTGAAGGACCTTTGTGGATTAAATAGAAAACGATATACAGTAATGACATCAGATTCTAAATGCCACTCATAAGGTGAGCCTGTAGATGCCTTTCTCACATTTGGCAGTAAGATTTCTAGCGGTAGCTCATTAATTTTGGAGGCGTACATTGTGTAAACTCAGCCAGTATAAGAGTGTAATCAGGAGGGGCACAATGATGGTCTATACAAGATACTTTTCTAGCGTCCATGAAATGACTTGCCAGCATCATAATTCACTTCACAACATTTTATCATTGAAGGTCAGTGTAACCAAGTCCTAAGAGCCAATGCAAAATTCCCCGTGGACGATATACGTAACATAATATACAATTAGAAGACAAGTTATCCGTAGGCATACCTTTTGCACCAGGTCGTTGATCACCAGTCCCCTAAAGCAAGATATTTATCAAAATCAGTAAAAGCATTCCAGTTAACACAGCATTTGGTTCCTTAAAAGAGGTGAAGTACCTCGCCATATATTTTTCGAGCGGCCTCCAACTGAGACATTTCCACATCCAATGCGCTTACCATTTCCAGAACCTCTGGGGTACTAACAAAGCGTACAAACCTAGAAACCAGCAGGTACGAGAAAATTCGAGTGTTAGCATGAGCACAGCTCCACTATCTTCTTGTTCAAAAAATGGAATGTAACCTCTCGAGGGTCCCTTTCGTAAACCAAGTTCCAGCATTTTTGTTGCTTTCAACTTCTAGCCTGATAGACTGAGCTTCTCGTGCAACCTGCTCTTCAGCAACTTTCAAATGAGCAACAAATGGTTTCACCAGTCCAGAAGCAAGCTTCTCAGTATTCCCCGAAGTAGACACAAACAATTCACATCTGCCAGAAAGAAAAAAAACACAGAGTATCTAAGAAACCATCTAACATTAACAATCTAACAACGCAAAGAAGAATCACTCATTAATATCATCACCTTGACCGCTTCGGGGAGAGTTGGAAGACAGCGTAGTCAAGAGGTATAGCTGGTCTCATCTTCTCCCTTTTGCACAAAATCTTCAGTCTTTCCCCTTCACATACCCAAAAGAAAAAGAAAGACAAAAAAAGACACAGGATCCTGAGTAAAGAGCAAACACAAACTCATCTCTTAAAAACGTAAAATGCTATAGGAATTTGAAGCGGCAGAATTCCGCGAAAGAAAATAAAACAGAAACATGGCTAACGGATCCACACTGGAAAATTCGAAGAAAAGAAGAATCAGTGAATACATCAAAGCAAATATCCATATTTAGATGCAATTTAACCCAACTAAGGCCACATTACAATAATAGAAACCCCAGAGTTCACAAGAATACAGAACCAAGCGCATTGCTAGATCTGGTTCCGATGATGGAAATTTGAAAATCCAATCAGTAAAGGAAACTGATTCACGCCGAATAAAGTTGAATCTAGGAAGACCGAGGGTTCGAATTCGAATTCAAATTCAAGCCGAAGTAAAAAAAAAAAAAAAAAAAAACCCACATCCGAAAGGGACATAAAAACGCCATTGCAATCAGAAAAGACTTTGAAAATTCAAGTGAAGTCCTACTCGGATCAGCCATTAGCAGACCTTACCTGCGGCGGGTAGAGACAAATGAGATCTTCGTCTTTTTCCGATGAATCGGTCTCTTTCCGATTCACATTCGAATAGGTACTATCATTGTCGAGTCTCTTTCTCTGCTTTTTATGTTCAGCATCTTCAATTAATTCTTCTCAAAGCTTCTTAAGAACCCTAGCAATGGCGATTGAATTATTTGCTTCACTCGAAAACTCAACTCAACTTCTTATTTTATTTACTTCTGAGTGATGGTGGATTCGATTCTCACCCATTGTCTCTCCTTTCGCTGTAAACTCTCTTTGTCAAACTACTCTAGAGAGAGAAAGTAAAATCTAGAGAGAGAAAGCGTTCTTCAGACAGAAATCACCATTTTTGTTGACGTGAAGTAGCGTATACGTGAAAAAAAAAATTAATAGAGCGTAAATTTGAAAATTTAAATTAAAAAAAAGTCGGCAGAAAAATGTAAAATTCCGAAAATAGGGCTGTCTCTATATTAAGTATTAATTGGTACCCTTCATTGGCTTCACCCTCTGAATTTTTCCAGTGTATCAAAATATATATAATAGGTAAGGATATATTAATTTTTTTTTCTAATAGTTTTCTTTCTGATATTAATTACAAAGTATTTTTTTGACCAAAAATGGATATAATAGGTAAGGCTTTTACAGGGTTTTTATAATAAACAGGGAAAGATGACAAAAACTACACAAAGCTTTTATAAAAATTTCTTACAAACAGAGGGATAAATTCGTCTTTAAAGGAAATTTTTTTAGTCTCGCGGCTGTCGCCGTCACAAATTGGCCGAGGAACAATTGTGTATTTTTTAATACTTTAGCTTTCAGATCCAAAATTTTAACGATTCCATCCATGTTTCAAAGAGTAAAAATCTGCGTGTGTATACTGTATACAAATACGTATATATACATATATTTAAAACTTTTAAACAAATATTACTAAACACTAGATGTTGACAAAAAGAAATACTAAACTACTTATTCCACTCTGCTCAAAACTAATCATATTTTAACACCAACCATTCTAATTCCAACTTTTGGAGACACTTTAAACAAAATGATGGACCCCATGAAAAAGGCTGGAAAATATCTAAATTGGCCCTAACAAAATAATATATAGACCTAGCTTTAAATCCTACCGAATTCTTAAATTCCAATGGAGAATTGGCCCCTAACAAAATAACATAGACCTTGCTTTAAATCTTACCGATTCATTCTTAAATTCCAAATGTTTTTGTTGCGTATATTCTCTTGCCCAGTTAAAATAATAAGTATTTGCAACATAGCATTTTAACTATTTCCACCGTAACCACTACATGAGTACATGATTTTGTTGAGAAATAGTCATTCAAATTTTACTGAGAAAAAAAGATCGATTACGCATGCTGGAGTCCCAATGATACCAAAATATCGTTAGCCAATAATCTATAGCACTCAGAAAATACGTGGACACCTTGGTTCATTACTTGTTGAATCGAACTTTTCTCTACAAAAAAGACAACTTTCAGAAGCATTCAAATTTTAGGATTGTATTTAAAACGAAGAAGTTTTCATTATTGTATTCGTCAAAAAGAAGTTAAAAATAATGCAAGTTTGAATTATGGTATTTTAGTCAAGTATCAAATTGTACTTTCCGATAAATACCTGATACCCTACGAAATCGATCAGAAGCAATAATAAAATAAAGTACACGAGCAACAAAACATGAATAGAATGTAATTATAGGTTAGTGCAAAAGATTAATTCTAAAGTGATTGCCAAGTTTTCTTGTATCTAAAAACGCCAAAAAGGAAAACATCATAAAGAACTAAACACACAAACAAAAAGTTGTTTTGCCTAACATTCTACTTTTACAACAAATCATGGGTCGTTAATGATGCTTCAGATGCAAGAAAATCTAGCTAAAACAATTTTTAATATAAAAAGGAGTTAATATGTCTTTAGGTACACATGCAAATCTTCAATATCAAAATAACCAAACGTACACAATAAAGGTGCGGTTGGATTGTATAAACGATCAAGAATGTCTAGGCCAAGTTCTAAACCAGTGTCATCTCACAGAACACACATTCTAACTCAAAGTTTAATAACCTGCAGAAGACAAATTATCTACAGATGATTCCTCATTAAAATATGTCAGAGGAGTCCGGAGAAAGTTATGCAGGATGATCTCAGGACTTTCCAGTGAAGTTAAATCTGTTCCATGTGACCAAAGTTAACAAAGATTTGGTAAAAATATTAATACACTCATGAAGCCTAGATAAGTTTCTTTTTCAACAATTTCAAACTCAAATCTAAAAATATGTAGATTACGACCTGAATTACTAAACTCTAGTTACCGACATCGTTGTTGCTGTTGTTGACAATTGAATTGATGTTGTTGTTGTTCTTGCAGCTGTGATGATCATTACTAGTGTTACCGATTCTCCTCTCACACTGCTTAAGCTGGGATATCTCCAATTGGGTCTTCACGAAAAACTGCATTCTCTGCAACTCGAGCTCCTTCAAGAACTTCATCCTCTCTTTCTCCATCTCGACCACCTGTTGCAGCTTTGCATTCTCTGTTTGCTCGTAAGCTTCGCCGAATCTCATGATCGCACGAGTTAGCTCCCTCCACTTGTTCCCTCCTCCATCAACTTCTTGCTTCTTCTTCTCCTCCGTCTTCAACCTCTTGGACAGAGGTGGAGGTGGTAAACTGTCACCGGAATCATCAGACATTGCTGCTTCGGATTCCGAGTCTGATTCAGAGGCATTTCTCTTCTTGAAACGCCACCGTTTCGACTCGCTGCACCTTTTCACCATCATCCCTTGCTGTTGTTGTTGCAGCGTCCTGCCTTGCTGCTGTTGTTGCAGCGTCCTGCCTTGCTGTCCAAACGGACTTGAACGGCTGCTCACCGGGATTCCCATAGGTACATTGCCGGATCCTCCTCCTCCTCCTCCTCCGCCACTGCCGCCAAACGAAGCAGCTGAAACCCTAGCCGTAGCTCCGATTAGACGGTCAAGATTATTGAAAGGCGGCGTTGCAGCCTTTGCTTGCTGATGGTACAAATGCGAACGACTGCCCATGGGAATACCCATCGGAATCTTATGCAATCCACTTCCTCCTCCTCCTCCTCCGCCAGGACTTCCACCACCGCTGGTGCCAGGGGCTGCAGTCGGGATCTTCGCCGTTGATCCAATCAAACGGTCAAGTTTGTCGAAGAACACCCACCTGCTGCGGCCACCGCCATTAGCGATTCTAACTTTCTCTTGCTTATACTTCTTCTTCACCGTATCGATCCTGTTTTTGCACTGTATATCGGTCTTTGCAATTTTACCGTAATCCTCCCTGCTGCTCACGATCTCCGCCACCTCTTTCCAGTGTTTCTGTTTCAGATTACCTCTGCTAAGCTCCAAGTATCTCTCCCCCCAGGCATCAATTAGCACAGCCGTAGCCCTCTCGCTCCAGCAATCCTCCCTCCCGCCGCCGCCGCTTGGTCTACCGTTGCTGCTACTGCCTCCGACACCACCGCTGGCCTGAATTGGAAGCAGCGCCAGAGCCAACGCGTCGGGATCCTTCAGCGACGAAGATGCCGGAGGTGTCAGGGAATAAGAAGGCGGACCTGTCGAAGCCACCGTAACCGTGATACGTCCCGCCGGCGGAGAAGAAGACGGATCGGGAGAATCGGAACCCGTCGGCGAAGCGTGCGATCTGATCTCCTCTTCGTCCTCCATGAATGTGATTTCGCCGGATCTGGTTCAGAAGTCGTAGAAAAGAGATAGGGTTAGGGTTCGGCTTAATATCTGTTCGGGGGTAACGGGAAGGAGACGGCGTCGGTGAGTAGGGGGACACGTGGAAGAACCTGAGACGATACGGGGAGTCGACGTGTAAGGACGTTATTGGTAGGACAGAGTAACATTCCGTCACCGGTAAAGTTGCCGGCCCGGTTAAGGGTAAAGACTGCCGAAAAATTAGCCAAAAAATCGGGGATTAATCGGGATTTTTTTTGTGCGTTTTTATCGTTTTTTATATATAGATATTTTTTATGCTGATTAGTTATATTAGTGTTGTTTAGTCTACTGGTCTATGCAATGTGGGCTATGATTCTGAGTTCGATTTGTGTCGAATAAAGTTCTGCCTTTCTTTTTTCTTTTTTGGTGGACAGCAAATAAAACACATATACCCTCATCTCTTTCCCCACAATACATTGTTTTAACTTTTAACGGGTTACAAGGCCAAAATAATTACACTACTTCTTGCATATGTTACTTTGATCACATCATGCATTTGTTTTTTTGTGTCCAACAGTAATAAACGGACACTTCTTTAAAAGATACTAGAAGAAAAATATGTGTCCAAAAGAACACCAACATACATTCCAAAAAGCGATTACTATTTACATAAATCCATTATACATTATGTACACTGTTATTACAATTTACAAAACAAAGTAGTTGGATTATAGGATACTTCTTCCCTTATTAACATTCATAGCGTACATTTTTGTTTTCCTTTTAATCTCTCAACGGTCTAATGCGTTTAGCACAATCCTGCAATATTATGGATGTTAATTAAGGGTATTTTTTAAAACATATAAACTAACTGGAAGAAAGAGAGAGATAGAGAGATTATGAGAATGAAAAGACAGAGAGGGATCAAACCAATCGCATGCATTGAGACTTGCGGCATGCGTTTCACTTGGTGTCCCAGCTGCATATAAATGATTACAAGTCAGTATATCTTCAGGCTGCACATATATATATATATATGACTATGCATGACTATGTACATAAAGATCACCTCAAGTCTTCTGCGCTTAATTAGGGAAAAAAGAAAAAATAGTAACTCACGAGTCAAAGGAGAACCGGGGTTGATTGATCCGACAGGAGATTCCGAGACACGACCTGGATTCACCATCAACTTTTGGTGACCATTTCTTGTGACACTGTCGTCGGGAATGTGATTTTTCAACTTCCCCAAACAGTTTTCTGGCGCGGGACCAGCCACCGTCTCATCCCAAAGCTTGTGCAAGAATCCCATATCTCAAATCAAATTTTTTTAAAAAGGGTTTTGTTTTTGTTTGTTGTTAATGGGGTCTCTTACGTTTTTTTTTTTCTTCTTTATTGGAGAGGATAGTGGTTTTATATAAAGATCAGGGAAGAGAAGCGTTTGAATAGACTAATTATATAGAACTGACCTTAATTTAACCTTCCAAAATTAAGGAGATTTAATCAAGGATGATGATATTATTAAACATAGATGATAAATCTAGCCGATAAGAAGATCGCTTAGACAATGAGTTTATAGGATGTGACACGTTTGACTTTTCATCCAACTTGTTTGACGCTGTCAAAAACAAAAATCTAACTACTGTACGTAGCTAGTTTGATAATCAATAATAATTTCCCTTATTTTCAATATAATTTTTTTTGTTTGTTTCCACTTTCCACATCATGAGCCTGGGCCTAGGCCAACTCTTGATTGGGCCGTATTTTTAACATTATGCAACGGCTAGTAACCTTTTTGGGGTTTAAATTCATTTTTTTCGCCTAATGTCGAGTCTCTTCTTCAATCGTCGACTCTAGAAACTGATTCCTAGAAACTAGAAAGAAAAGGAAAGAACAACATTGAAAAGTTACCGTTAAACAATCTCCAGAAAAGCGCTCTTCGACTCTTCTCTCCCACTTGAATATCACCAAGAAACTACTCCATTTTACGAAAGGTATCTTTCTTTCGTGTGATTTAGGTTCAGATTAGACTGTTCATCTGGCGATTCTTTGTTATTCTTTCCCGTTTGTCGCTATTTGATCCGTCTCGTTTTCTGGGTTTCCGGGATTATGTTGCTTGAATTAACTAGAGAATCAAATTGGGTTTTCGATTTCGTTCCTGGGTTTCTGGAATCAAATCTACCCATTTTAGGGTTTTCTTTTAACTGCTTGATTTTGATGATTCTGGAATCAGATCCGCAAATGTTTGATATTGCTTCGATCTTTTGATGGTTCCCGATTTTGTGTCTATGAACATTGACAAGCTTTTGTTGGTGTAAACAGGTTGAAACCTATGGCGAACATGAACGCTCTTCAACAGATGATTTTCCCTGACGAGAACGCTCCGATTCATCGCAAAAGTAGTCATTCTTTCTCTATCTCTTTAGATCATATGTTTGAAACTGTTGATGAATGTTTTGAAACAAGACTTTTTCTTTCTCTTTTGCTACTACAGAGTCTGTTACTGCTGCTTCTGTAAAAACCAAAGGACCTGTACTTGGTCAGAAGAAACCCGGAGCTGCTCGTAAGGCTCTGAATGATATTACAAACAAGTCCGGGATTCATCCGAAAGCTTCTTCTAAGAACAAGCAAATCGCTTCTTCTGCTTCTGCAAAAAGCGAGATCAACATAGCCGGGGAGAGGTTCTTGCATGATCACAGCAAATGCATCAAAGAGCAGCAAAATCTCTGGGATGATCATGCTGATCTTCTTCTACTTCACCATGGTAAATATACTTAAGCTCTGATGGTAAAAACCAATCTTTGCTTGTCAACTTTTGCTAAGCTTGATTTTTTTTGTGTGTTTTATGCAGATTCCAGCATCAAGGAAAAGCATCTCAAGTTTGACATAGAAATGGTACTTGACTCCGATTCAATGTGTATCTCTGACTCTTGATTTATGAGAGATTGTTATTAAGTCACTGATCTTACATACACCATGGATCCATTTGTTCTAGTTTTGGAACCTTACAATGGCACTTTTTTTTTATGACTCTGCCTAGTGTGTTTTTGGTTTCAGATGGATGCTAAGAACAATCTGACTTACGACGAAGCAGAAGAGATTCCATCGCCCAAGTTGACTGGTTGGCTGAATAGCTCAACTCCATGGCGCTCCCCAATACGAAGACATGGCTCTACGATGATGCCTTCCACTCCTCTGCCTTGGCGGTTCGATTCAGCTGAATTCACACTCAAGGAAGACTATGATGACGACCTCTTCTGATTTTCCTGTTTCTTTTTTGAAATATTTCATCCTTCAGGCATCTTTTTAATATTCATGTTTAAACTCTTGTAATAATACCATAACGGTAATATGCTTCTTGCATTGCACCTACCTAAATGATTTGTGTTGAATTTCAAATAGATCAGATAAATAAGAAACATAACTTTTTTTGTGGACTGATATATAACTTCTTCCTAATTTATATTCTTTTTTCAACCAAACAAAAAACAATGAAGTTTAAAATCATTTGTTAAGTTTAAATGTTGAGAATCAAATTTTACATATACAGATTCCACAACAAGCACTTGAATCCTATCTAGCAACAAATCTGTACTATACTTGAACATTTGTATATATCATCTATGGAAATGGTGAAGTTCCGAAAAGGATCATGAGAAGGCTATCTTGCCATGCATAAGATAGAGAACTACATACAAGAAATGTTATATTAGTATATATGTGCAGCACATAGATTTGTGAGAAAACGCATATCTGTTCGTGCACTTCAACATAGATTTGTGAGAAAACACATATCACTTAATGAAGCAAATGCAGCATTTGTCTCAGAATTCCTACCATCTATTCAATTTTAGTAAGAATGAATTTTATACACTTGTGAAACTTAACAATGTTATACCACTAATTTCCTTCAATGCTATCAGAGTTACCACCAACTTTTGAAATAAATAATGGTAAGCAGAAACGTAGAGACAAAGGACAAAAAAAAATAGTAATAAACATTGAGGGGAGTATTAAAATGGACAAAGAGCATCCATTGTTACTCGGAGAAGAATCCATCAAAGTTGAAATAAAATTAGGTAAATTGCCTATGAAGTAGGAACTCCATAGTTGTTGGACGACGACGTTTCGTGAGCAGCCGATTGAGCATCATTTTTCCTCCTGTTTCTTCTCCCGCCATTGTTCTTCCCTTTCTTGAAATCCTGCTGATGCTCCACCTGCTTGACCAGCAAAAACCATTTCATTATTAAAGGAACGCTCAAGAACCAACGCCATTCTCGGGGATCATTAAGAGATAGTGAAATCAAATGTGGCCAGGTTTTATGATTCTTTACCCCTAAAGAGAAGGAATGAGCTCTGGGGTCGAATCCGAACGGATTATTCATGTTAATACCCATTGAACTTGTTTCGAATGATGACCTTGATCGCTGATCGTTTTTGTCGAATACAAAACTACAAGATGATGATGATGATGATGGGAATGCTGTCACGTCTCCTTGAAACATCTCATTAAACAGATCTTGTAGCTGTTCAAAACTGTCCCCTGAATTATTCTCCTGCAAACCAACATCTCGAAAATATCAACTCGGCCGAAATCAATGGTGTCTAATAAACTAATGGGAAACTAATGCAGACTGCTTACACTAGGCTTGGATTGATTCATCATGGACGCCATTTCGTTCAGGAAATCTCCCATTCCCTACACAACAACAGTATCCATCATTAACATGATTCATATGTTCAATAACAATAGAGGGAAGAGAATAAAGCGAATTTAGGACAAAGAAGTCATATCACTCGATCCATTTTCAACACAAAACAAGGCATGCTCTGCTTTCGAGAGCATTGTCCCCTTTGAAATAAATGTTCTCAGTAACCCTGGCTGGATTTAAAGCATATGATGGGAGAAGAAAAAGGTAGAAAGTGAAAATCTTTAAGCAAAAAAAGTAAAAATAAAAAGGGACTTTTTACGTTTTGGTCATCATCATCGTGATAAGCTCCAACATCATAGAGGAACCTCTTGTTGGAATCGGACAGAACTGTGTGCGCACCAAAAGAAAACAAAAAAAGCTTAATCAGAGGAACATAACCAATACTAAAAAAACACACATCAAGGAACAATGAAATAATAGAGGATCTTCTGTATCCAATAGTCAACTCCAATATGTTCCATAAAATATCAAAAATTGACCGAGAGCTTTGAGAGAAAGATGAAGCAAAGTTGGTGAAATTACCAGAGTAGGCTTCTTGGATGGCCTGAAATTTCCTCTTTGCTTCTTCTACAAACTCCGAATTCCCCATTGACGAACAACGATCTGGATGCCATCTCTAATTTCCAACGTAAAATCAAAGTTCCCCAAATCAAAATTTCAGTGACAAAAGGAATGATTCTACAAGTGCTTATAATCTCAATCAAACCCTATCAGCTAAGGCATGATCCCTCGATCCGCAATCGAAAATTTACCAGGAATAAGAATCACAGAATCGATTGGACTACAGATTAATGAGAATCGAACCCAAAAACTAAATTGCTATTACATGCAATACTCCAAATCAGGAAACAGAAAACATTCATTGTCATGTACATCCATAAACAAAATACGATATCAAAATTAAGAGAACTCACTAGAGCAAGCTTCTTATAAGCAGTACGGAGCTCCGTCGTCGTACATTCCTTCTTCAAACCCAGAACAGCATACAAATCATCGTTGCTTTTCTCGCTATTGTTCGACGCCATACCTAGCTTTTCTCCTCCAGATTACAAACCCAGGAAGCCAAACCCGTTAAAACAAAACAAAAATCTATTCTTTCTCGTAAATTCGACGAATTTTGAACTCCCAGAAACAGAGCAACAGACCAATATCTATAAGAGCTTGTGTCGAGTATCGGTACTAAAGTGGTTCGATTGGTTCGAAACTAGGTTGTTAAATACGAACAAATACGGAGATATTAGGGTTTGATTGGTATCGTGGACGATCAAAGAAGAAAAATTCGGAGAGAAGAGGGGAAAAACAGGTTTTTTTTATTTCTCCTCTCTATCTCTCCTACATACGTTTGTGAGAATGGAACTCTCCAGAACCTCTTTCCACATGTCTAGATTTTTTTCCTGCACTTTCCTGTTTTTTATTTAAATATCAATAAACTAATAAATTATCTTCTTCTTCTTCTTTTTTTTTTCCCGGTCAAACAAATACTAATTACATTTGTCCGAAATTAATATCTTTCGATACTTTTTCGAAGTAAGAAAATACTAATAGAAGAATATGAATTCTGTTAAAAAAAAATTTTAAAAAATCTGTTACCACCACTTTTATAACTTTTTTTGGGTCAAATACCCCCAACTTATAACTTATTTGTCAATTAATTTGGTAATGACGTTCCTTATAACAATTTTTAGTGTGGATGACTTGTCCATTACATAACAAATTCGATGGCAAAAAAGTTCGGACTGTTATTTTTTTTTTTTTTGTAAACACAAAGTTGAAATTATTTATATTCACGACAATTAGTAAACGAAAAATGCTAGTAATATTTTTTTTTTTAAAAGAAAGAAAATGCTAGTAATAAACTTCCTAAGATATTGGATCTGATTAATTCTATATTTTTCCAATAAGTTGGAATCGTTTTTAGTAGAAAAATGCTGATGGCTAAATATGATATTTTGTTTTTTTTTTAATGGTGAAACTCATACTACAATCAATCATAAGAGTGCGGCTGAGATTTCAGATTTGTTGATATTTTCTTAGTGGGGCTCTCTCCAGAAGGTTCTCAGGAATGTGGTTTTATCGTAAATTGGTCTAAACTCGGAGGTCTTGCGTCACCGTCCACCGTCAGTTTTTTTCGTGAAGATGTGCTTTTAGCTTTAAAACGCGTTACATCCGCGGGACCCACTTCTGACTAATGTAATAGTTTAAGCCAGTAATTAGGATTCGGTTTTTGTTCATCCATTTTTGTCGGAAACCCTCGAAATTGACATCATTGTAATTACCTCGTAATGTAATTACTTTGTAAGATTCTACTTGGTACTTAGTAATGCTTAGCTGTTTGTACTTGTTGTAATGCTTAGGTGTTGATTTAGTGCGTGTGTGTACATGTATCTAAGATAGTCCAATCGGTTCTAAGTTCTAACTCATTTTAACCCTTTTGGAGTCGTTGAAACTTTTATTGACAGTAACTGAACTTCCTCTGTTTTATTCGAATTCAGAGCCCGGAATATAATAAAATTGTCGAACAACAAAACAAAAAAAAAATCCAACAAGATCTGAGTTATGTTCATCATCATGTCTTCTGTAAATTATTTACAAGTTTGTTACCCTTTCTCAGGCTCTCTCTTTCTCTAACCTTTTCACCTTTTTTTTCTTCCAATCCGATTAATAAATTAGTGGCGGTTAGTTTTTTTCTTTTTCAGTTATGTTCTGCTCTGATACTTTTTCTTTCTTCTTCCGCACTAAGAAGGTATGTTCTTTTTTTCCTTTTTTTTTTTTTGAAAAAAATCAAAATGTAGAGCTCTTCTCTCACCAGAAATGTCCGTCTCCATCCATCACCCACCTCACATAACCTTGAGGAAGAGGAATCCCAGAAATGACTTCTTCCTCCACCGTAACTTCATCTCTCTGTCAAAAGTAAATAATAAAAAAAAACACAGAGAGATGAGTTTGGTGATTAACAAGGTATTAAGAGGTATCAATGGCAGCTTCGTGTTAATCTTCTTCACACCTTTCTATTATCGCTGGAACATGATTCAATAACACATATCTCTGACTCTATTTTTGTACTTTCAGGAATGGTTTCGAAGGATCTAACCACTGTGGATCTGCATGAAATGAAATATATGTCCGACTCAGAATAACATATTTGGTTGGTAATGGTAAGCCACAAATATATTCAAATAAAGTTTCTTTTTTTTTTTGGTTTTACCTTCCGTAACTCTCATCTTCACAAGAGTTTCCTGAAGAAGAAACCCAATCCATATCAAAAGCTGAACATGTACATTGGTCACCATAGCAGAAGCAATCGTTTTCAAGAATCTCTTCTAAACCTATTTCCTCCAATGTCGGTGATGGAGCACTGCAAAAAAAAACACAAAGACATTCCCCAGATTTAGCTGACAACAACACAATCAAGATGATTTATATGACATAAGATCACAAGCTTCTTTGTTGTTTTTACCTTAGACTAGCAGCAATCTTAGCAGTTTCAGAAGTTGAGATCTCAGGAGCTGAATCTGAAAGACCTTTACCTTCTTCATCCTTTTCAGCTAAACCATGTCTAGCTACTGCCCCCAACCCGGCTGTACTGCTCTCGCTTATGATGCTACTTTCTGATAGAGATCGTTTCATCGTAGACCTAAAGCCGATAACAACGTAATGTAAGTATCTCTAATGAACATATAACATCATTCAAAACTAGTCTGCAAGTTTCTCGTTTAACCAGGAAAATGTACCTTGAATTCTCCGGTACAGAATTGGCAAGAAACCTAGCTGCATTGTAATGCTGATCAGAACCCAATTCCCATAGCGCTGGCTTATCTGGTTGTGGCAGAAAGTATCCCAAGAACCTGAACAAGCATACAAATGAAAAAGTAAAGTCAGATAATTTTGTCACACCAGAGAAATACAAAGAGAGAAACTTAATGCAGCCTACAAGTTAATCGCATCTTGCTTCTCAGCATCCATATAGGCGTTACTGTAGTAACGTTGTAAAGTTCTGAATAATTCTTGTGACTGAGTCGTCGCTTTCCATTGACCACGCCTTTCACAAAATATCTGTCATTCCACAGTAATAACATTATTTGGATAATCATTATTCCCACAGGTTTTCAAATAACAAGGCAACATATTATGGCCAGAGAAGCTAAGAAAACAAACCTTGTTGTGTGCTGCAGATCCTCCATACTGAAGCGCAAGCGTATCTCCCATTGTCTCATAAATTCCCATCAAATCTTCAGCCAGTGGATTATCTAGATCAATAGTAGTAGCCTCTCTTAATCCCAAAGCATGGAGTTGACGTCCAAATGCTACCAACCCATAGGCATATTGAGCAACATTGGTGCGATCTAAACAGTCTATGCAATTGGTCCTCAAGACTCCTTTCTGCAGCATCGTAGCTTCTTTTTGCTTATCCTCTTTAGCATCCTTACTCTCATTACAACTTTCCACCGCCACATTTGATGCAGTCTCATCTTTACTGGGAAGATCATAAGTAGAACATTCACCATTATTGTTCCTGCAATAAAACCCAAAAGGATATAAATTAATCCAAGCCCTAGTTACTAGGAATGCAAGAGAGATGAATAACATGGTAAGCAAGAAACCACATAGAAAGTAACTAAGTGTTGGCTAATTTGGATACTCACTCCAAGGTGGATGGATTCTTGTTCTGAAAGCCATCTGCTCTAGGATCTAAACTTAGCTGACAGTAGAATATGCCAGTCAAGTTCAGTGCATAAGTAGCCAACCTGCCGAGAATTGCCAACACGTTTGTGCCTTTTCTGGATGGGAAAAAAAATAAAAAAACAACATTTTCAGTAAGTCAGAACACCTAATATAGTGTTACTGAAAATGCAATGCAAATAGAGAGGGAAACAAAGAAGCATATAAAGGTTGTGTCCATCATATACTTTCTGGAGTGTTTATGCAAATCCCAGTGAAGAGGCCTTAGACGATCCTCCTTGCTTAACCCTTTGTTTATAAATCTAATTGCATTTGCAAACTCTGCACGTAGAATAGTCTCCCTTGGCCTCTTTTCACGCGTCTGTTTTTTATCAATCAAGTGAATTAGAGATTACCTAAAAGAATATATCAAAAATATGTATCATCATGGATGAGTTAGGATATACCAACCTTTATCAAGTTCAATATGATGATTGGATTCCCATATCTCCTTGCGAGATTCTCAAAATGCAGTCTGGTTGCCTCGAAGTTGGGGTCTTTCGCCGACACTTTACATAGATAAAGAGAAAATCAGCGCAACAAGCAAAGCAGAAAAGAAATAGACAAGATTATAGAGTTATGTTGAAGGACAAAGTGATTACATATTATGTCAGGTTTGATATTCAAGCGTGATGTCTCCTGAGACCAGAACAAAGGAATCGAACCCCGGTTCTGAACTACAGAGCTTATTCGGACAGGATTACCATCTTGAGCATCCTCGAAAACAATCTGCTCTGTCTCGACATCATTAGCTACTCTGCCTTTCTCGTTCACACCACGTTTCAGATATCTGGAGAACAAGAAAGTAGATTACGACCCAACTAAGATTTAATCTCATTCAGCTTAACCAAAACAAATGGCAGAATAGAACAAAGCTCAGGTGGAGAGACTGTACCTTGTGCCAGCATAATGCCGAGATCGGCGCGCAATTAGTGTCAATCTAAAGTTCTTCTCAGAAACTTCTAGTTTAACCTACATATTACACAGAAGAAAAAGTCATTCCAAAGGTAAACAAGTTTTAATGTGCATCAAAAGACAAAAGATTTGACAAGTTATCCACATAGTGTGGGGTTTAATCCTAATTCTTGCAATAGATTCTCCTCTCATGCGGCAGAAGTGTACAAAATCAAGCAACATGGACAACGTGACGTTTTAATTAGCATATCTCTGAATGGTATAAACGGTTTTAGAAACGTTATGACCAAATTAAGACAAGTAATACCTGCTTGAAAAATCCATACACCAAGGCAACTGTCCACATACAGTCCTTGGCGTTATTTCGAATCCGTCGAGTTAAGTATTCGTTCCAGACAAACATTGATTCATAGTAAGTGTGTCTTTCCACATTATTTGACAGATTCCTCTGAAGAGAATGCATGATGTGATAGGAATAGCTGAAGAAGAAGTCCTTTGTGAGATCGACAGTACAGAGTAATCTCTTGTACCTATTAAAGTTCCAGGGAAGACAAAAGAAACAAAACAAGATATATAAGTTAGAACTTGGATCAGTGAATAATCTATAACAGAAAGGCAGGTAAAAGATAAATCAAAGTTAAAAATATATCAAATTAAACGAAATTAGAAGAACGTAAAAAATAAGATCTCCCTTTCTTGATAGTACCTCTGCCATATAACATATATCAAAATAAATACAACAATCATAAGTGT